TCACGCAAGAGGCAAGGATTTCATAGGGTGATACCTTTTATTAAACTAACTGCGTTGTTGAAAAAGGATGTCTTGCATTTGAAAGCGTGTCTAACTCTATGCCAGCTATGCAGTTGGTCCAATAAAAGATACCACCCGAAGAAATCCTTGCCTACAGCACATAGTCATCCATCGATATTTATCATTGTGCAGTTAAATGAGGGTGTTAGGGGGATGGTCTAGTAAGCTTTAAGGTGGGAGAGGGGTAGAAAGGAAGCAGAAATTACAGTGCTCATACCATAAATCAAAAAATAAATGTAAAATATTGCAGTAGAAAACACTGGCTTGGTAGCTTACTACCAAGAAGGAAAACACACCTGCCCAAAGCAGAGTAACTCACTTAAGAAAGCAGCCGAGATCAGCTTCTCTGCTAAAGTGACTGACAAACTCCACCTGAGAGAGTGTGGTGCTTTCAAGAAACGTTCCTGCAGCATTTTTCTGTGAATGATGAAATAAAACAAAACAGTCCAGTCAGCAGAGTTGAAACAATAAGAATATATTGGCTTACTTTCCCCCAAGAAAAGAAGCATATGCTACCCTATTGCATTTTATAGTGCATAATCACAAAACTTATCCGTCCTGCTCTGTTTGCCATCCTCTGCAGCGGTGAACAATCAGAAACAGGTGTGCTTCCCTGTGCCAGCTCATGCTGTATCAGACTTCTGATACTTTTGTCCTCAATTGCGACTGCATGATAGATATAGATATATATAGTTTAGATATATAGTTAGATATCTATCTATATATCTATATATATAGGGGTGGGGGTGTGTGTGTGTGTGTGTGTGTGTGTGTGTGTATCTATCTATCTATCTATCTATCTATCTATATGTGATGTGTTTGCTATCAGGACTTCCAGTACATGCATAGGCAAAACTACAGTTTTGTATGCCTATTGCAAAAGGGTGAATTAAAAAAATCTGTTGAACGAGGTATGTGAACAAGCACATACAATTGTACATGTGTTGTGTTTTCCCCCTACTAGCTTCTCCAGTTTATTACAAATTTTAAGTGCTTGCTGCAGAGAGAAAATTCTGCCATAAACCTCAGACTGCGCACTTGGAAAGTGTGCTTTTTATCAGGCGGTACAATTAACATTTTTGTGTCCAAATTTTAAAATTATTTGCTCTAAATTAGTCTTCAATTGCCCCTCATTTTTTCTGCTGTTGATGAGAATTACAGAAATTTGAAGGTATTTTCCTCCCAGTATGAAAAACCCAAGTTAGTATTGTTCCCAGAGAAGGGAGTGCATCACAGAAGCTACTACCACCGGTTTCACCTTTGCCAGTGCCTGTAGAGAGAAGAACAAATGAAAGGACTATTAAGCCTGAACTTCCCTCCCATTACTAGCAATGATCTTCAGGCTGAAGTTCAGCGTTCAGGAATCTTGCTGCCTGCGTTATGCTTGTCCTGTGGATACACCGTGGACTTAGGGCTATCAATCCAGACTTTCCAACAATACTTTTACCTCCTTTCCCCTCTTGCACAGTTATTTTAAACAAGAAAAAGCAGCTGAAGTTGTCAAATTTCAACAGATCTCTTGAGTCTGGTTCTGAATATGGCACATGAAAAGGAAAGGTGTGGCATAGAGAAGACAGTTGTATCCATGCAAATGCTTCATGCATCTGATTACCAACAGTAATTCTCAGTCAGGAAACTGATAAGAGAGACGTAGTTGAAAGGCGTCATGTTCTCTTTGCTTTTCTGTTCAGTGCATTTCTAGCTGGCTCTTAATGCAATTTAACACTTCCTCTGCTACCGTAATTGCAGCTGTATCTCTAATCATGAGGAGTAAAGGAAAAAAAAATGGAAGCAGTCATGAATGGAAGAGGGAGCATCTATGAGACAAGCATTGCTGATAAGGAGATCCTCATCTTGAGAAAAGGTTGGGAATCTCTATTCTAATTGCAGAGTGCCATAAAACTAACTTAGACCAACACGGCTACAACCTAAACCCCCATAAAAGTAAGCGTACATTCAGTCACAATCCACTTTAGCTTTTTGTTGCTAAAGCCTTAAGAAAACATGCTAAACATTAGTTCCCTGGTACACGCTTGTTGCTCACAGTTGATCCTAGATCACCTGCACAACCTTCTGAATGCATGATCAGTTGATGTGACACTTGAAATAGTTTCAATTCTCTACAGCCTTTGCAGAGCAATTAATTTTTTTCTCCTTAAACTATTTGCAGCTTCAGATTTTTCCTCTCTCCCTGTTCCATAACTATTTTTCCCCGTTCCTTTTGTGAGTATTTACTTCATCCTCTCTGAAATAGGTAATAGTCGGCAGTTATTGTTTGCATAGTTGCGTGACAGAGAAAGCTGGAGCTTAATTACGTCTTTTAACTGTGCACGCACCTTTTACTAAAGATCACTATGTGCCCGAGGTATAGTTAGACCCACAAGTATTTTGGATACTTTCTTGACGTGTTGTACAATGCTGAAAAAAGCATAACGTTAAGAACTCAGACTTTCGATCCAGGGCAACATGCATCAAGAGCTCGCGGCTTGAGACAAACAAGGGATTGTTACATTTTTAAGATATTTTGAAAAAAGGCTTCTACTCTATCTGGTAAGTCGACATGGTTGGGGTTTGTTAGGAGAGGGGTAGGGGGCATTAATCGGGGTGCGCAGATCAAACAGCTCAGCTCATCTGGGTATGCAGAATGGGTTGAGGGGTTTGGTGTTATTTTTTTGCTTCTGTTTTGACATGAAAACCAGTTGGTGGAAAGGAAGAATTTCATTTCAGAACAGTCTTAGGAGAAGAAAGCTGAATTGATTAAATAAAACGTGCTCCTGTGCGGTGTCACTTCTTGAACAGCCTAATGAACTTGGTTCATGTTCGTAGGCCTACGCCTGCAAGAAAATACGCAGTATCCGTAGCTCCCCAAGGAGAAAAAGGTGGGAACATTTCGTGCAAAATCAAGGATGCTTGTTTGCTGGGAATAACAAAATCTAGCTCTCCGAGTCCTACTTTGCTAAGTGACCAAGGTTTTAAAAGGGCAAAATTCTTTGAACAGCAGGAAATCCTACTAGCCCACACAACAAAAACAAAGGGAACTGACACAGGGCTTGTAATTCAAATACTGACAGCCTGTTTTTATTGCTAACTACTGTACTCTGAAGCTCTCTGCCTGTGTGGCTCTGATTTCCTTATAGCCTGTTACCCAGTTGAAACGAACAACCTATTGTTACGGGTTGGTTGCTTAGAAATTTAGGATAATTTTTATGCTTCTTAATACCGGCTGCATGAAAGCCTGCGAAGCTTGGTCACTGCATTTTGCTTCTGTTTGATGAAAAGAAATCCCAGAGACCGCTTGAAGCTAATTTTTTCTATAGTAGGGACAATTCTGGGTACATTAGCGAGGCGTAAGGGTTAAATCCCCAACACTGTCGCATATGGCAGTGAGCAGAATCGCAGATGTTGATGATACAACGTAATTAGTATTCTTTTATGTAAATGAAGGCTGTCAATGTTACCATAGTGTCTACTCTTTCAAGCTGGAATCTATTGCACTTGGACTCACCAAGACTAGACAGGATTATTTCACAATTTTGAGTCAAGAATTGAGCGGAAACAGTTAAATAGAGAATACAGAAAGGGGCAGGGATGGGATTGGAGTGGGGGAGAGTTTCAACTTACTACACTAGGCCATGTTCATGCTTTTATTTCTGACCGTGCCTTCCCAGATCCTGTTGTGTTGTAAATGAGCAGGCATCCCCTAACTGCAAGGTACGGTCCATTTCCGAACTATGCTTTAAACAGACAAGGTTATTCTGATATTGAAGCGATGCAGAGAGAGAGCATTTCTAAACAGACTACTTTTATTCTTCCCTATTTGAGAACAAACAATAGAAAGAGTGCAGAGGTTTCGTTTGCCTTAAAATCTGCCTTCTTTAATAGCTGCATTAGCAATAAGGAGCTTGGTAGTAAATGTTTAAATTACACTTGCATAACAAATGTAAGAGAACCTATGGCGTCTATTCATTGACTTGTCAAATGTGCCTTCTGCACATTTGCAGTTGGTGGCTCCAATGTCCATCTTAAGACGCTTTGAAAGCATGAGATTTCCATAGTAACATTACAACTATATTCTCCATTAAAGTGGCATTCTGATCTTTAAGCTTTCTGCACGCCAGATATGAAACTCTGTCTTGAATGGTGTTATGAATGTCTGTAACCACTTTGTGCTTATTGCTGTTATTACAGATATTACAACTTTACGCTATATTGAAATACTTCAGTTCTGGGGTGTTTATATGAGGGTGGGTGCATGTGTGTGTCTGTATGTATGCATGTCGTATGTTATGGGAGTTACCTTTATTATTGAAAACAAAATCCTCTTTCAAGCCTTCTTTTTTTTCCCCTCTGCCTTGGACAGAAGATACAGTACTTGACAATCTCTTCTAGCTTCTCATCCTTAAATGTTGTTCTATTTTAAGATGCTTATATTTGACATTCTCTATTTCTGCATTTTTTGTTGTTGCTATAAAAATCATGTAGTAAATGGAGTTTCATTCAGAACAGACTCAGTCCCCCGCCCTCCACCCTGAAAAGATCTCCTATGAAGTCAAAATCAAAGTGATCACAGGAGGTGCACATTTTTGCTCAGTTTTCCTGTTCAGATTTTACTTTGCCATATAGCCGGTCATCCACTATGAAAGACCTATAGTGAAGAGGCTATGTGTGATCAGCAGATTTATAGATTATCAGAAAATGAAATCAGAAAAATGAAATTCCAGTCTGCCCTTTTCCATTTGACATTTCTTCACAGCCATGTATTTGGGTTGTTAGGTGCATTAATGTCATGGCTTCCAGCTAATTCTGTTCCCTATTATGAATATGTTCTCTGCAGTAGCTCTTACATTGAGGGGATTAATTGTGTTGTAAAGCAGCTCTGCTAGGTTTTTTACTTTGTTTACATGTATCACAGGAATATTTTTTTTCTCTCTCTAGGGCTTTGAAGCTGTGCTGCCTTTATGTGATGAAGATCTAAGTAGTAATTAATTTCCCGAAGAACTGCCAAGGCTCCTTTGGCTAAAATGGGGATGTTCCATGCTTTGGTCACTGAGTTGCAAAAAAAAGAATGTTTAAACATGACTCAGTAAGTACTGAATCACATACGTATGCATGTGTGCATCTGGCTGATGCATCTTCATCCTGTGGTTTGTTTGGTTTTTTATTTTTATTTAATTTTATTTGTTTCCACTGTTCCACATGTCAGCTCTTTGCATGAAGTGTATAAAGGAACAGTTTTACTAGTATTAAGAACTCTGTACCTGTGTGTGATTAGAATATAACTGAATAGTATTCTTAAAATATGTAGATGTGGAACACATGAGGTAACACTTGGTTGTCTAGAACTACTTTGCATTTTCTTCACCCAGGATTTAAAAACTGAGTAAATGTGTTGTCTCCTCTTTTGTGTGCAGACTAATTTGTGCATTATGACAGAATGCATTTTTTTTTAACCTGAAATATGTGTGCTGGTTTGGTTGTAACATGCACATTTTAAAATGTTGACCTTGGTTGAGGAAATAGAGGCAGACTCTTACCTGGCATATATTGATGTAGCCCTATTAAAATCAATAGATCTGTGACCATTTCCACCAGCTGATGATTTTTCCTGTGGCTTTCATAAGCTGAGCTGCCAGTTTGTGACCCAGCTTGCTTGTAAATCTTCCTTATAGGGATTTGCTGTGGAGTACTCTGTGAAAAAGCCAAAACCAAATCTGACTTAACATCAGTGATGTGCAGGTTGTGTAGTACGACTGCACTAATTACCTGAGACCTGCTACAAATGCAGTGACTGCATTTCATTTGTAAATGCTTGTTTTATCAAACCTTTGTCTGGTGGGGAAAATGTGTAATGTAGGAAAATGAATGAAGAATTCAAGAGATTGACAGTGGGATGCAGACTCTTTACCAATCCGGCACAGCCCAGGTTGGTCATGGCAGTTATCCAGCATCTGTGTGGTTTCTCTGCAATAATTTCTACAATCTAGGTCCAGTTTCTAGCAAACAGAAGTTCCAGTTACAAAACCACCATCAAAATTAGCCTTAAGCTTATCAATTCCAAGGGCATAGCTAAAGATTAAATAGGTACATGGGCTGAATTCCTCTCTTCCCTTTTACAAGTGATTCCACCCAGGGCAGGTAAAACACATTGGCAGGTCCCACTGTCCCTGTCTGAACTATCTTTAGTAGGCAGGCAGAGAGCTTCATTCTTTGGAGCTTGTCAAGTCTGTATCTGGTACTAAAAACTGCTTTTAAAAGTGCCCGGTAATAAAGTCTATGAAAGGAAATAATGTAATTGGACTTGACAAGACATGACATGCCTGTATCTCTTTAGGTCTTCTTTATGTCTTGGACAAAAGAGATGGATTTAAATATGTACGATAGTTCTAAGGTCCTTTTTTTTTTTTTCCTCCTTTACCCTTCAAGGTTAAAGCAGTGGAGACTTCTGTAAGACATGGATAGATGCAAACATGTTGGGCGGCTACGACTCGCCCAAGACCATTCTATCCTGAACCCCCAGAAGTGGCACTGCATGGACTGCAAGACAACAGAGTCGATATGGGCATGTCTGAAATGCTCCCATGTGGCCTGTGGAAGGTACATTGAGGAACATGCACTTAAACACTTTGAAGAAACCAGACACCCGCTGGCAATGGAAGTTAACGATCTCTATGTGTTTTGTTACCTTTGTGAAGACTATGTCTTGAATGATAATCCCGAGGGTGATTTGAAATTGCTAAGAAGCTCTCTGTCAGCAATTAGAAGTCAAAAGCATGATCCATCAACAAGAAGTGGTAGGACATTGCGATCAATGGCTTTGGGGGAGGACGTATGCAGCCATCAAAGGACCCCTCAGGGACAGCCTCAGATGCTCACTGCTCTCTGGCACAGGCGGCAGTCCTTGCTAGCAAAAGCGCTGCGGACCTGGTTTGATAAGAGTTCGAGAGGCCAGTTGAAACTAGAACAAAAGAAACGAATGGAGGAACTGGAGAAAAAGAAGGAAGCAGCCAGGCAGCGACGACAGGAGATGAAACGGCGGCTTCTGGAGGAGCTGGCAAACACTCCTCCCAGAAAGAGCGCAAGGCTGTTGTCTCATGTTCACAGAGAGAACTTGATTCCAAGGAAATTCAGAGAGATGGCAACAGCTTCCCCTACCTCAAGGAGAGTGCAGAGCAGCAAATTCAAACAGTTTTATTCCATCCGGCGCAAGCCCCTTATGACTCCAGGTGTGACTGGTTTAAGGAACCTTGGAAACACATGCTACATGAACTCTATTCTGCAAGTGCTAAGTCACCTCCAGAAATTTAGAGAATGTTTTTTGACACTTGACCTCTGTGAAACTGAAGAACTCTTAGCCAAAACCGTGAACGGGAAGTCTAGAATGTCTGGCAAGTTGGCAAACGGATCTGCTGCTAATGAGTCAGGGAAGAGTGACAAAATGGGGTCATATGGCAGGCAAAGCTTGCCAGTTGGCTTAAATGGTGGGTCCTCAATTAGCAGGAGTTTGGAACTAATACAGCCCAAGGAACCAAGTTCAAAGCACATCTCTCTCTGTCACGAACTGCACACCCTCTTCAGAGTAATGTGGTCTGGGAAGTGGGCATTAGTGTCTCCATTTGCCATGCTGCACTCTGTGTGGAGTTTGATTCCAGCATTTCGAGGTTACGATCAGCAGGACGCTCAGGAATTTCTTTGTGAGCTGTTGGACAAAGTGCAGCAGGAGCTGGAGTCTGAAGGGACGAAGCGCAGGATCCTCATCCCTTTCTCACAAAGGAAGCTCACCAAGCAGGTCCTGAAAGTGGTGAACACCATTTTCCATGGGCAGCTGCTGAGTCAGGTATGCACATAGGTCGGCACTGAAACCAGCCACTGCTCTCACTGTGCCAGGGAGCAGAGGTTTTATTTTCTGTCGAACCGCTGGATATTCAACAGGACTTGGGTTAGGTGTACATAATGAGGGCAGAACTTGTTATGGCACCGTGCAATAGTCCTGTTGGCATTTTCGGCACACATCCCTCATCGAATGCAATGATAATTTAGAGGTCCTTTATCACTTCAAGTTGACATTTGCACACAGCGTACAAGTTCTCAACCCTGGTGTAAGTTACTTTTTGTTCTTATAAAATATCTTTTTAATTAGTTTAGCCTTTCCTTTGTTTGCTTTCTGCGCTCAAAAATTGTCGCATGAGGGACAGAGAATACAGTCGTCTTGTCTCATAAAGAACAGAGCTTATTAAAAATTATTCGCAGGCATTGTGATTGAGCCCGCAGCGTGCTGACTACCCATAATTCTGTGGTTTCTGTGGGAGTCGCAAGAGCTCAGCATCTCGCAATGTTTGGTCCCTTGGGTATATATTTTTCCCCTTGAGTAAACCATGTTACTCCTCAAGGGTTTGACTCTGAGAGTTGCTGAGTGCTTCTGCAGGCCCTCAATTACCATTGACTTCAAAGGTCATTAAAAGTGCTCACACCTTGCAAGAGACACTTGACACTGCAGGATTGGACAGTAATAATGTTGTGTGCAGTCTTACGTATTACTCGTGTAGTGCCTTTTCCAGTGCTAGGTACCCTGAATTTGTTAACGGGCATCTAGGCGCATATTGAAGAAGAGCACTTTCAGTTTGTTATTTAAAGAGGATTTTTTTGGATGACCACAGTTAATTTAAAATTGCAGTTCATTTTGCATCATTTTAGCTCTTCACTGGTGGTGTATTCTGTCCGAACTCCTAGTTAAGGCATCCGTTACCTGCTCTCTGAGGTGCTAAATGTCAGTGCACCTTATTCTGAACCTTCCTGCTATTTTCCAGTAGTCTGTTATGCTCATTCTGCCAAGATGCTTGTTCTGATCGGAGGCCTGTATAGCTTTTGTTTACACATAGCGGATCTCATCCAAGACCTCCCATCCCTCTGCTGCACCCTCCCCCCAGCCCAAATGCTGTACAAACATTAGTAGGTTAAGTGTTACATATGAAGTAGGGATTATGCCCTGTGTAGACAGGTGAACTTAAGGTGCAGCGTCCTTCCCGAGGACAAGGCAGCAAGCTCTGCTTTGTATCTCTTAGCAGAGAAGAGATCAGCACCATCTCGCGGGACAGGAGGAACCCTGTGCGTTTGAGTTCCTCCTTTTCACCCTCATCATCCCAGGAGCATAAGTAAATTGCAGGGTTGGCATGTGATGCAGGAACTGAAATGGGCAGAACAATGAAGGTGACTATACACAGGGTTTGCTACTTAAGCAGACAAACTGAAGAAATGGTGGGAGAAGTATTGAACCCCAAGTGCTAGTATGAATATAGTTCGAAAGTATTTCAGAGAGATGTAGTAGTTTGACACAGTTAAGTGACAGTTTTCCTCTGAGGAGCTCATGGAGAGGTAAGTTTCCTGCATGGGGGAAATGGGGACAGAAAAGTTTTGACTTTTTTGCCTAGGGTCACATAATCAGCTGTCAGACCCCATTTCTCTTGGCAGCTGGACTGTATCCACTGAAGTGCACTGTCTCTTGAGCATTAGCTCTCGTGTTCTTTGAGTCATCTGAATATGAATGCCTCTCTTGTAGATGTGTATACGTACCCTCATTTGTGTGTATAAACCTTTCCTTTCCAGGTCACCTGTATAACATGCAACTACAAATCCAACACCGTTGAGCCCTTCTGGGATCTTTCCCTGGAATTTCCTGAACGTTATCACTCCATTGAGAAAGGGGTTGTCCCTGTAAACCAGACAGAGTGCATGCTGACAGAAATGTTGGCCAAGTTCACAGAAACTGAAGCTCTGGAAGGGAGGATATATGCATGCGACCAATGCAACAGTAAGTGAAGTGTTGATGTTTTTTCTTGCAGCTCAGAAACACAGTCTGCTGTTCGGGTAAGAGACATACGCTGGTGCTTAGAGGGGGAGGACGTACGGTGTGTGCATAACATGAAAACCGCACCCTTCCTCACCACTGCTGAATTAGTGTTCTTCCTGTTCGCGGTTTCTGCACTGTTTGTGCACCTCTCCCAAACTGATGGGTTGCTCCTTTTCCATTCTTTACCCTCACAATTTATACACTTCGCTAAGGACTCATTTTGTCCCCTGCTGTTTCCTGCTATGATTTTCTTTATTCGCTTGCTTCCTCTGCTGCACTAAATAGCTTGTGAGGATTTTTGTTGTAGAATATATGTTCGTTTTTTTTTTTTTTTCTTTTGCCTCTCCCATCAGGAGGCTGAGATGGAACAAGCCAACCTTGTTCCTCTGGTCTTGTTCATCCAGTCAGGGCCAGACCATTCACTATGTTTAAGATCAGGAAGGAATTTTACCCCACAGTCAGATCGCCATGAACTGCGGTGGGTTATGACTTTCTCTGCAGAGAGGGGCAGGGTCCTCTTCCTTGGATCTCTCGAGTGTGTTTTAACAGACCTGTTCTTGCAGTGGCAGGACATTGACAGTGCCCTCATCCCTCTCCTTTACCTGTGGCAAGTAGTGTTCTTGATGTTTTGGGGTATTATGCCTGGTAGTTGCACAAGAAGGATGCACAAGGCAGTCACGCAGCTTTAACAATAGGATATGCCAGTGATTCTCAAGCAGGGTGCTGCAAGGGTACTACTCAATACAAGTTACTGTTAGGTGTGCAAATACCTACATATAATTCACCAGATAAACTCTGAGCTATTGAAGAAGAATCCATAGTGTCAAAAACGTTCTGACCTGGTGTGATCTTGAGGTTTTTGCAACGGAAGAATTGTTCTATTGTTTTTCTATGGTCGAAACATAAGTAAAAGCTAAGAGAGGTGTACCTCAAGTCCAACAAGGGGCGCTTTGAATCTGAGGTTGAGAACAACTGGGGTAGGTGAACACTCCTTTAGAATGGTTTGGTTCAGGATGATCCTGTCGTGGACTAGATGACCTGCTGAAGTCCCTTCCAGCCCTACTTTTCTCTGATTCTGTCCCAGCTAGGGGATAATCGTTTTATGTCCTGCAAGATGGAAAGGCTGGGGAGCCTGCTCAGAGTGTATTTTATGTAGTCATAGCGAGTTGTAGTGTAATCTTTTTACCATGCCTCCTTCCGGTATTCTGAGCGTGAAGGTTTTTGTCTCCACAGCTGTAACTTTCCTTTATCAAATGCTTTCAAATAGCAAGTTTGAGAAATCGCCATCTGTTTGTGGATATTCTGTAAGCAAAAAAGGACCTAATTTTATCAGAGAAAAAAATTGGCTGGGATCCTTCGCAAAAAAAATGATCGCTATATATTTCATTTGGCTTTCATCTTTGCCCTGTATTCTGCTGTTCTTGTTTGTGCAGACCTAAAGTTTGCCAATAATGCAGTTTCCAGGTAATTTGGATGAGGAAGCATTAACTGAAGAAAGGAAGTCACGGTGGGAAGCAGCAGTCCTTCCTCTAGATGCCAAAAAATTATTGATGGCACTGTCTGTCAGAAGTGATAAAGGGGAGCAGCAATCCATCTGTTCTGAACTGGTGCAGTGGAATCTGGTTATCGGGTACATTTCTTACAGAGAGCCCTGGCTGCCACCTGTCCACTTTCTGCTCTGTAGCTGTGTTCTGCATTTGCTGGAGAGGTTGGTGGTCTCACATAGGTATAGGAGACCTTTTTATTTCTTTTTCCCTTCATTGTGCTATTCATAATTAGACAATAAAGATTGTGCCCTGGAATTACCTTTCTTCATGCAGCCACACCTCCATTCTGCCCTGCCAGGCTGGAAGCTCTCATCTCAACTTTTATTACGCAAGTTTTTTTAAGCTCCTGAATCGCAGGGTTGCTCGTTTTATCCGTGTAGTCTGGTGAACGGGTCCAAAGCAGCAGGTTGGTAGAATATAGTGCCAGGATGCCAATATTTTGCAAGCTGATGTGCTGATGGAGGTGGAAATAAAAATGTAAAAGCAGG